GTAAATAGTGATGCATACTCAACCTTGGAACAACAGGGCTCTGGGATACAGGGATCTAGGTATAGCTTGAAGAGGGTAAATACTACTAAAATCCTTGACTGCCTTATGAATATTAGTTTCCCTTTCCTACTATTGTAAAAGAGACACTTGAGTGGGATAGAAAGGAATGTTGGAAAGCATGATTAGAGAAAACTTGTAAGCCAGCCTTCAGCCTATAACTGATTGGAATACCTAAAAGGGGTCCTACAACTTGTCCAGTGAAATAGGCCTCGTGCAAAGCCTTTACAGAGTATAGGACTTAGGTGGAATCCTGAGTCCTATCCACAACCTTATGAGGTGAGACATTCCCACTAGAAAGGACAAGCAGACTAGAACAGCTACAGTGACAGAAGATACATCTTCATGATGAACCTGACCTATACTCAGAGCGGTAGTTACTCTAAATACCAACAGAAAGGGAAAGAGTCTTCACATCAAGCACTAGTGCTATTCCCTCTGTGCACAAGGTAGATAGGGATGGGCAATTTAGACACTGGCTACCTAAAATGAGGGGGCAATACAGGCACGAAGTGACTGGCTTACAAGGTTTCAAGAGGAAGTTTAGTTTAAGAGTATGGGTGGTAAAAAAAGAGTCCCCACTGAATAGCTGTCATCTTGTCTAGATGGGTCTGGTGAAAAGAGATGGGAATAAGATTCATAAGATTCAATAGTGAATAACTGTTATCATGACTAATCGCAACTGTCACAATTGTAAAGAGTAGCTAATCTTACAGTTCAGAAACAGAAGACCCTAACACCATCAAGAGAGGAACACACAAGCAGAATGCAGGACCTTATCCAGAGAAGCAGCAACACCAGAGATGGAGGCAGAGATGGGGGCATGGAGGGGGGAGTGGCTGAGGACTCTAGATTCATGGACTAAGAAGAGAGGGATGAAGAGCTGGTGGCCAGGAGCAGACTTGCAGACTTTGGAGATGTAAATTATTATATATGCCTGAGTGGTTTTTTGTTTGTTTGTTTGTCTTTTAAAAAAGCTAAAGTAGATAGAGAGAAATACTGTTAACTGATGGTACATAGAGGGGATTATAATCAATGTAATGAAACAAGTTATATGATTTGTTGAATGTAAAATTGATGATATGCCCTGTAAACTTTCACTCAGTCCACAATAAAAACCTTAAATAAAAAAGGGAACCAGAAAGAAAAACAAAAAGATACAAAATCGGGCATTAAATATACCCTTCTTTTCTTAAACAGCGATATCAGCACTTCACATTTTTTTTGGGGGGGGGAGGACAGAAGGTCAAATCCCAGCTAGTTTTATATGTATAAAAGAGAGGGAGATAAAACAAAACAAAATAAAACAAAAAAACTCTTGAAATCTAAAGAGCATTTGTTTACCGGTGACTAATTAGCATGCAACTCTAAGTAGCATCACTGCTGATGTCCAATGGATCTTGGCTGAAAACAGAGAATATCAGAAATATATTTTCCGGTGCGTTATTGAATACGCAAAGGCTTTCGATCATGTGGATCATGACAAGCAATGGACAACATTGAGAAGTATGAGTATTCCTGAACACTTACTTAATTGTGCTTGTAAAGAATCTGTACATGGACCAAAAGGCAGTTGTTCCAACAGAACATGGGAACACTGACTGGTTTAAAATTAAGAAAAGTGTGCCACAGGGTTGTGTTCTTTCACCATACTGATTTCACCTGTATACCAAGCAAATAATCCGAGAAGCTGGGTTCTATGAAGAAAAACGTGGCATCAGGATTGGAGGAAGACTCATTAACAACCAGCAATATGCAGATGATACAACTTTTCTTGCTGAAAGTGAAGAGGACTTAAAACATTTGCTAATGAAGATCAAAGAGCACAGCCTTTGGTATGGATTGCATCTCAATGTCAAGAAAACAAAAATCTTCACCACTGGACCAAAAAACAACATTCTTATCAATGAAGAAAAGATTGAAGTTGTCAAGGACTTCGTTTTCTTGGATCAAGTATCAACACTCACGGAAGCAGCAGTCAAGAACTCGATCAACGTATTGCATTAGGAAAATCTGCTATACAAGACCGTTTTAAAGTGTTCACAAGCAAG